GACGACAGAGCGCCCCCCTCCCCCCACCGACCCCCCTCCCACCCGCACCACCCCACCCATCCCCTCGGGAGGCAATCGACTGCTAGACCACCCTGCCCACAGAGGGCATTCAGACCACGGTCCCCCGGCCAGCCCCCGGCCCGACGACTCGCCCCTCGAGCCAGAGGACTCCAGCCGAGGCGACCCCGACACGTCGCCGGCCATCGTCATCACGGCAGCGGGAGACGACCAGGACGACGTGGCGGCGGCAGCAGCTGCGGCAGCTGAGGCCGCTGAGGCCGCTGCGCGAGTGGGTGAGGAGCCGGAGGCCGGTCAGCATGCGGTGAATCGCCTGGGAGGGGGCGGTGACGGCGACAACCCTGCTGGGTCGCTGACGCAGCGCGAGACGTCGATCGGCTCGGAGGTCTACGGCACGTCGGCAGACGACTCAGGCGGTAACGACGAGCGGATGGAGCCCGACAACGGAGCTGACGGGGAGCGGCAAGAGGCCGGCCACGTACGCGCGTCGGTTGTGGCGGAGGGTGAGGGTGAGGGGCTTCTGGGGGACGACACAGGCGACAATGACCAAGGGCAGGAGGAGACCACCATGACGCTGGATGACCGGCAGGACCCCTCCGTCACCCGCCAGCCGCCCCCACCGCCCCCGCCGGGGGGAGATGGTGATGGTGACGGTGACGGTGACGATGATGATGACGGTCTTGGAGGAGGGGATCATGGCGACCCGGAGGTGCGTGACAGGGATGGTGGTGGTGGAGAGGGGGATGGTCATGGGGGGGGTGGTGGCCAGCGGGGTGAGGGTGAGAGTAGCAGTGCGGCAGGGGGACGTGCACAGGGGCGCAAGAAGGAGGAGACCTGGACACCCGCAGAGCCGCCACCATGCAGGCCTAACGAGGTACATACGTCACAGAGTGACATCCACACCACACCACACCACACAATCGCCCCCCTCCATCCATCCCTGGTTGCACATGTGTGGCTTGGTGTTTGTGTATGTGTGTGTGAGTGCAGGTTGACTGTTTCTTTGCGATAGGTGGCGACGACCGTCAGTACAGCGAGTGGAAGGTGGTGGGCAGCTGCTGCTTCCGCCTGATGTGCTGCTACAAAGACCGCGACTCAGGCTACCGCAGCGTCGGCGGGTTCGTAGAGGTCGGCGAGCCCGAGCCCGGGGCGCTCTGCTGGCCGCGCGACTGGGCCTGGAGCGGCACTCACTACAATGTCATGGCCATACACCCTAGAGACCTCACGTACCCACCGACGCACTCACACCAGCCCACCAGCCAGAGAGAGGCACGCATTCCTGCCTGCCTCTTGTGCCATGTCTGTCTGTCTGTCTGTGTGGTGTGGTGTGGTGTGGTGTGTTGTTTGTTTGTTGGTTCGGCTGTTGTGAGTTCAGGAAATCTGTGGTGATGGAGGATGTGTACGACTTTACGTGTCTCGACAAGGACCGTGGGTGGCACAGCATCGCACCCAGGGTAAACCCTTCCACAACCACAACCACAACAAACACATGAATGAATCGCACCACTCAGCACCACACCACACCACACCACATAAATATGATGAGCACCTAAGCCTGCTCTCCTGCGTCTGTCTGTCTGTGTGGGCGTGTTGTGTGTAGCAGAATTCGCACGGCAGGTTGGAGGAGTGGGTGCGGCCCGATGGCACCGTCCTGCTGCGCGCCGGCATCTCGCCCAGGCTCATCAACATCAAAACACAGGGTGGGTGGAGGGAGGGAGGGAGGGAGGGATGCACGGACAGATGACACAACCAACGAACATGGCACAGACCAGAATGCACTCTCTCTGTCTGCCTGTCTGCCTGCGTGTGTGCGTGTATGTGGTGCGTGTCTGTCCCCCCCTCCCTCTCACCCTCCCCCCCCCAGCCAAGGAGGGGACGAAGCGAGGTTTGTATTGCGACTTTGTGGGTCTGCGGAACCACGGTGCGACGTGCTACATGAACGCCCTGCTGCAGAGCCTCTACCACGTGGGCATGTTCCGACACGCCGTATACGCAATGACCAAAGAGAAGGACCAGCAGAGGCTACAACTCGTCGACGACAGACACGCGGTCAGTGGTGACACCACACGACCCAATCAGCCAATCAGCCAGGGACGGAGGGCGGGGGCAGATGGACACAGGAAGGGCTGGTTGTGTGTGGATGTGTATGTGTGTGTGCAGGAGTTGTGTGTGGGTGAGGGTGTGGACATGAGCGACGGTGGTGAGGAGGTGCGTGCCAAGCGGGACGAGCTGCGGCGGAAGGCCATGATCGAAATATTCAGACCCGAATATGAGGCACACTCGCACGTACGCAATGCCACCGAGGGGGAGGGGGTGACCAACAACACCTGCACACCACACCCCCTGAACACAGCCAGGAGGGTGGGAGGGAGGGAGGCACATACCGATCCGTCTGTGCGCGTGTGTGTGTTGTGGCACCAGGATGCGCCCCCCGTGGCCATAGCTCTGCAGCGTGTCTTCTACCACCTCGAGACCCACGCCAACGCAGTGCCCTGCAAAGAACTCCTCAGGTAGGGTAGGGTAGGGGACGCACACACACCGGGCGAGGAGAACAGACAGACAGACAGACAGAGAGAGGGAGGGAGAGGGAGAGGGGTGCGGGGATTGGACTGGATGAGGTGAGCGTATGTATACGCCTGTCTGATGTGGTGTGCAGGTCGTTTGGTTGGGACACTTTGGACGCATTCACCCAGCATGACGTGACGGAGCTCAACAAACTGCTCTGCGACAAACTCGAGGAACAAATGAAGGTCCACCGCAAAACACACACAACACAACCCACATGTGTGTGTGGATGCGTGTGTGCGTGCGTGCGTGTGTCTGTCTGTCTGTGTTGTACGTGTGAAGGGTAGTGGTGTGGAGGGCCGCATCCGTGAGCTGTTCGAGGGCGAGTACGAGAACTACATCGAGTGCGTCAACGTAGACTACTCGTCCACGCGCAAAGAGTCCTTCTATGACGTGCAGGTACGTCCACCACACCACACCACACCACACCACACCAGCACACACGACCTCCCTCTCCCTCTCTCTGTCTGTCTGTCTGTCTGTCTC